AATTGTTAGTGCCCCCGGGGAGCGCCTGCTGCTGCTTAGGGGTGGTCATCGGTGCCCCCTTCCAACAGATAGGCATTTTTAGACCTGTGGCTGCACGCAACCAACACCTAAATAGCTCTAATTAGGCTACACAATAATGCACATCGATTTTTTTTTTTTAAGCATTTAAATAGCTACTTAAACTTTGTGCTAGAACATCAATATTTTTTATCTACAATTAGTCTCATATCTAGCAAAACCCAGTATTTTTATTCACATTCAAGTTTCAAAACGCATCAGAAAAGGAAGTAGATATTACGAAAAAATAAAGTTTTGCTTTTTTTAGAATCAGGAAGGTGAAATCATTTCTGCAGCTGTCAACTTTTTTTTTTTCTTCAATTTTAAGGTTTTTCTGCAATGCCTCTGTTGAATACAGTGCACAAGGCTTCCCTGGAGGCATGCACTTAAACTATCGTCCTCAGCTCTTGGGGGGGGGGGAACAAAATCACACTGCATGCTGGTGCATCGTATAAGGAAGGAGAACATACCTGGTGGCAGACACTGGTGGGAAAGTTAATGCTGTCAGCTTTTCTCTCAGTTTTCTGCAGTTACTCATATTTCCCATACACTTTTTTGCCCCATACATTTTGACATGAGTTTCAAGTATTTCATATACCAACCCTCCTTTTTTAAAAGTCAGTCTGTTAACATGAAGATGACAGTCAAACAAATCTCAATGCTTGCACAAGTAAAACGAACCCATTTCCAAACAAATTTGCTGGAACATTTTTCTTCCCGCTTGTGTCAAACTGCCTTCAACAGAAATTACTCATTTTTTCCCCTCTAATAGGTACATTCCTTAAAATTAAGTTTGCTTCAGCATTGGGGAAAACTTTATTTTGCTCTGTTTGATCATTATGTCATTTATATATTTGGGAAATGGCTGTTACAATACGCATTTTTTCCAATAATAAAAAAATACACAGCAAAGGTGGACAGATTTCTTCCAGAAAATACAGAATAAGCCCTTTATGACAGAAAACTCTCAAGCCTTTTTACATTTTTTTAGTATACCTGGGGAATTAATAATTTTTATTGAAGACACTCTGGTAGTTTAAGTCTCTAATGGAAAAGCGACTGTTTTACAAGTTATCAAAGCAAGCTTTATAGTCAGTAGTGATGTGGTTTTCCCAGCCAATTTGTATTCTTTTGGGATTTTGCTCAGGAAAAGCCTCCCACCCCCCCACCGCCACAGCAATCCTGCTTTAACAGCTCCAACTGTAGAAACTTATTTACTGATTTCACACAGAAAAGTGTTGCAACTACACTAACAGCTGAAAGTCATCTTGTTTCTAGAGTTTCACCAATGACTAGAAAAATCAGATAACTGCATAAATGAGCCATTACTTCTTTTGGATACAGGCGGCATATTTCAGGAAGGTACTTTGTCAACCCTTGTAATTTAGGGAAGTGTACACCACGAGTGCATACTGTTTATGAAAGCAATAAGAAACTTGCATTGCACAATTAAACAGAATCTGTCATAGACATATACTGACACGCAAAATAATTCAGCAATGAGCTTTATGCATATAGCTTTTTTTTTTTCTTTAAAATACTTGCTGGTATAAAATGCTCTGAAGTTCTGTTTTCTTTACTAGCTTCTGCAGTGGTTCATTATTTGCTCCTTCAAATCTTAACATTCTCACTGCTGTCACTTCATCTTTTTACCTTGAAGTGTTTATGCCCTTTACAGAATTTCTCTGGTGACTTCTCTTTTACAACCCATTCTTAAAAGTAATCATCATTTTTAATGTCACTTGGGTTACACTCATGCCTGATGCTATGTCATCCTTCCCCGGCAGATTCGTGATAAACAGGGGAAGACATTAAAGTCAAGATACTCAAGAGCAGAGCTGCTAACCTGAATAAAAATTCAAGCAGGTAGGTACCTTTACCAATAGCTGTATAATCTGTTTCTGAACTTTTTTATTGTTGAGGATGCTTGTTTTTGTAAAGATGTTTCAAATATTTGTTGGTTAAAATAAATTATCAAGGCTAAAGTTAGGTAAACCATTCTCATGGCAGTTGTTGCTGAAAATATTATTTTCAGTGCTCTTAAAATGCTGATGTACAGCCAGCTCTGTTTTGAGACAGTTGTACAAATTATCCTCAAGTGTCGTGCCTCTGGGCTATAGGGATCAGAAAGATTTGTTTCTACTTTATACTTGCTTCTGATCTTTACTAATTAGTGTTCTGAAGTAACATCTATCTAGTTGTCTGTTCATTTGCCCCAAACCATATCCAAAACCACTAGAAGTACAGAACTTTGCCCACATGAGATGCAGGAATTTGAGGACTTTCTTCTACAGCATGCATTACAGCTTGCAGACTGGAAATACCTGAGCAAATCTCAATTCCTTGCTAGTGTGGGTCTTGAGCTCTCTATCTGTGTCAGCAAGCAGACAGGACAGCACAGCTTCCTGGGGTGGTATGAGCTAGGAGCCGAGGGTGGCCACAGCCTGGGTTATATCCTCACCGACAGGGCGCAGTCCTGCAGCGGGACAGGCAGAGCTGGGTGCTGGGAACAGGCTCCATGAACAGTCACAGCAAGGGCACAGAGTGGGTCCAAGGTCCATCCAGAGAGGGCAGGCACAGCAGGAGGTAAGGCCCAAAACAGAGACAAGTCTGAGGCTCATCCAGCAGCCAGGTCCAGACAAGAAACAAGGCTAGAGCCAGGACTCCAAACAAGCACACTTGTAACATAGCTCAGCCAAGGAGTGGTGGCCTCGCCAGGCCTGAGCTTAAATGGAGCTCCCAGCCCATGGACCAGATGTGTGGATGGAGGCCCCAGGTGAGGTTGGTCAGGGCTATTAACGCCTCTTGGCACCCTCAGGGTCCTGACAGTCCCTACCCCTACCCATAGCATCTGTGAGGTCTTTAAGGAACAGTGGGGCCAAATTTCACTAGCTAAGCAGGCATCTTCCTTTCTTTCAGGTGCAGGGGAGAGGTGTGTACTTCATGCCCTCTGGTATCCTATGGCTTACTGCAAAAGTGCAGTAGACTTGAAGCATCCAAAAATAACAGGTTGGTGCATGCAAAATTATCAATGTCTTCCCAGATGTAGCGTTTACTGCCCAGGCACAACACAATCATTCTGCACTCATGCTTTGTATTGCTCACGTACAACCATGCAGTGAAGTAAGGGCCAAGATTTCCAATAAAAATGGAAACTGGGGGCAAACTGCTGTCCACCACAGGTCAGGAACTTCTGATAGGAAATATTTAGAATAAATGCAATAGGCCTCTATAATGGGCGTCAGAAGATGAAATCATAGTCCCTTCTGGCCTTACTTTATATAAAATGATATTAATACTTACAGCTTATCTGTGTTCAGCATGCTTACAAATGTTAACTTATTTTCAGTGCCAGTCAGGCAGGTAGATACTATCTACAGAACCAGGGCCAAGAAAGACTAAATGAGGAAGTCATTGTCAAAACCACAATTAGAATTCAAGAGTTTCTGCATTAAACTCATGTTGTTCAAGACTTTTCTCTTTCAGATACTGCCAACTAACAATGCTGTGGGTGATTTATCTGATCATCTGTATTACAAATACAAAGGCATTAGCAGTGGTTGGCTTGCATTCAGCTGGGTTCGCAGGCACAGCACCACATCTGTGCAGCTGTGGTGGGTTGACCCTGGCTGGACGCCAGGTGCCCCTCAAAGCTGCTCTATCGCTCCCCTTCTCAGCGGGGCAGGGGAGAGAAAATACAATGAAAGGCTTGTGGGTCGAGATAAGGACAGGGGGATCACCCACCGATTACTGTCACAGGCAGAACAGACTTGGGGAAATAAACTTAATTTATTACCAATCAAATCAGAGTAGGTT